ATCAGGCTCCCTCACTTCAGACTACACTACAAAGCTACAGTCATCAAAACAATATGGTACTGGCACAAAAACAGACATATAGATCAATGGAGCAGGATAGAAAGCCCAGAAATAAACCTATGCATCTATGGTCAATTAATCTATGACAAAGGAGGCAAGACTATACAGTGGTGGAAAGACAGTCTCTTCAACAAATGGTGCTGGGAAAACTGGACAGCTACATGTAAAAAAATAAAATCAGATCATTCTTTAACACCATACAAAAAAATAAGCTCAAAATGGATTAAAGACCTAAATGTGAGACCAAACACTATAAAACTCCTAGAGGAAAACATAGGCAGAACACTCTCTGACATATCTTTTTCGATCCATCTCGCAGAGTAATGGGAATAAAAACAAGAATAAACAAATGAGACCTAATTAAACTCAAAAGCTTTTGCACAGCAAAGAAAACCATAAACACAATGAAAAGACAACCCACAGAACAGGAGAAAATATTTGCAAATGATGTGACCGACAAGGGATTAGTCTCCAAAATATACAAACAGCTCATGTGGCTTAATATCATCAAAACAAACAACCCAATCAAAAAATGGGCAGAAGACCTAAATAGGCATTTCTCCAAAGAAGACATACAGATGGCCAAGAGGCACATGAAAAGATGTTCAACATCGCGAAGTTTTAGAGAAATGCAAATCAAAATTACAGTGAGATATCACCTCACACCAGTCAAAATGGCTATTTTCAAAAAGTCCACAAACAATAAATGCTGGAGAGGGTGTGGAGAGAAGGAAACCCTCCTGCACTGTTGGTGGGAATGTAAATTGGTACAGCCGCTATGGAGGTTTCTTAAAAAACTAAAAATAGAGCTACCATATGACCCTGCAATCCCACTCCTGGGCATATATCCAGAGAAAAACATGGTTCGAAAGTATACACACACCCCAATGTTCATTGCAGCACTGTTTACAATAGCCAAGACATGGAAGCAACCTAAATGTCCATCAACAGAGGAATGGATAAAGAAGATGTGGTACATATATACAATGGAATATTACTCAGCCATTAAAAAGAATAAAATAATGCCATTTGCAGCAACATGGACGGACCTAGAGATTGTCTTACTGAGTGAACTAAGTCACAGAGAGAAAGAGAAACATTGTATGATATCGCTTATATGCGGAATGTAAAAAGAAATGATACAAATGAACTTATTTACAGAACAGAATCAGACTTAGAGAATGAAGTTATGGTTACCAGGGGCTAAGGGTGGAAGGAAGGGATAGTGAGGGTGTTTGGGATTGACATATACACACAGCTATATTTAAAACCAGTAACCAGCCAGGATCTACCGTATAGCACAGGGAACTCTGCTCAATGTTATGTGGCAGCCTGGATGGGGGGGTAGTTAGGGGGAGAGTGGATACGTGTATGTCTGAGTCACTTTGCTGTGCACCTGAAACTATCACAACATTGTTAATCAGCTATACTCCAATATAAAATAAAAAGTTCAAAAAAAAAGATACCACATTAAAAAAAACTAGTATAGAAAGAGCACAAGAAAATGTTTGAGTTCACACAGAGCACTGTCTTCTTTTGGATCTAAAACACTAAGACAATGGGAATGAGCTGTAGGAAGACTTAGTGAGTCTCAGAAAGACAGAAAAGTGTTGGGAAATTTTAAAGCAGCCATGGTTAATAAAAATTGCACTGTGGCAAAAATAATCAAGATGATTTCAGACAGTTATAACCCAGGAAAGTGTTTTCTGAAACAGCTGCTTAATGTGCTGGTACGGACCCCAATGTTAGGCCATGATTAAGAAAAAATTCTGTTTTTATAACAATCTTTTTGCAATCCTTTTGCCTTATCAAGAGATCCACGATGCCTTTTTAGAGAAAAGCAATTCCAATAGCTGGCCAATTTTATAGCCCCTACTATGTGCCAGGCACTGTTCCTCACAACAAACTTATGATATAGATATTATTATAATACCCATTTTACAGATGAGGAAATTGAGGCATGGAGAGGTTAGATAACTGACCGAAGGTCATGTGGTTAGTAAGTATTGAAGCCAGGATTCAAACATAGGCAGTCTGGCTCTACAGCTTCTGTTTTGGAATTCCATCATATCTCTCTAACTTGACTTCCAAGAATGAAGACCTGCCATAGAAAGAGTGAACACATGGAGCAACTTCCTCAGGGAATCTGGAAATAAGAAAGTTCTCAGAGACAAAGGATCAATTGAGATTGGCCTCAGCCATAGGTCTGCTACATCAGTTAAGGAGACTGAACAATTCCCAGGACTGTAAACTCCTCGACAGCCACATAAAGGGATTAGCCTCTTTAGAGAGGCAATCTGTTAGTCTCACGTGGCACTGGTGAGTCATGGGAGAGTGGAAAAGGAGTTGGTGACCAGGTTTTTGGGCAAGCAGTGTCTGGTAAGAAGGACCCATGGGCTGACTGAAGTGTCCAGTCCTAGTGAGATGCAGATGAATCAGGTCCCCAGCCTAAGAATCCCTGATATTGTTTTATCCTGTGTAGTTTGATTGCAGTGAGGATGTGCCTGGAGCAGGCTACACAAATAACCAGTCTGATAAAAATGAACAACAATTAGTATTTTGATGAATAGACGTGTGTTTATCAGGACAAATCAGCTTCCTTGTATCTGATCAGCTCTGGAGAACCGGAAAGAATGAAGTTCTGGAGTCTAGCCCTGCAAGTCCCAGGGCCAGATCTGGAACCAGTTTTACAAGGCACATGCCACCTTACGAGTCTCTTGGCAACCAACCCACCTCTTTCCCTGGTGACAACCTGACTGCACTATACATACGACTTAGAAAAACTGGTAATTCCCTGGTGGTCCAATGGTTAGAACTCCGAGCTTTCACTGCCAAGGGCTCGAGTTCAATCCCTGGTAGGAGCTGCAAGCTATGTAGCAAAAAAGAAAAGAAAAGAAAAATTATACAAGACATCCTAAAAACACATGTGGGGCTTGAAAGTCTGGAAAGATAAAGGCAATGCAATTATATGTCTGAAGTCTTTAATAGTTTGAAATATATGGCTAGGATGAATTGGTAGTTGTTTGCCGATTTCTAGAATAATGAAACTACAACGTAACTTTCAAAAATTAAGGAAGTTGGTTTTGGATAAAGAGGTGTAAGTTAGCAGATATAAAATTCATTCCAGGGGGTTGAAAATACAATCCCTTTAGTGTTTATTGGGCACTCGTGAAATGCTGAGTACTGAGCTGGGCATTTCAGAGAGAACATGGAAAGCAAGGGGTAGCAAAGGCCCCATTTTCTGCCCAAAAGTTGTTGGCAGTCCAGCAGTTGAGGGTAAGATAAAGACCCCAAAAGCTGCACTAGAAAACAGGTTAATATGGGTGGAACAAAGGAAACAGAGATCGCATCTTTTGAGACAGTCGGGGTGGGCATCACCAGTCATTCCTCAATGCCATGATAAGACGTCTTTCTGGATTTCTGGGCACAGTGCCATCAGGATCAGTTGCAGCAGAAGTGCCCTCACTCTTTGCCTTGACTCCCTCCACCTGGCATGGCTTCAGCTTCTTATTTGGGGAACTCAGTTTAAGAAGCTGTTTCTTGTCGGCTGATATTTTCTTGAATAAACGGTGCCCCATCTTCAGAAAAACAAGGTCTCCACCTCACTCCTCAGGCTGCCCCTCACATCTACAGAAACATTTAAAACAATCCCAATAATCCAAAAGAAGAACAGAAAAGGGAGAGAAGATTCCGCCAGCACTCCAGACACACAAGCCATTTCCAGGGCGCTCCCTAGCCTGTCCCAGGTGTGTCCTAATGAGTAGTCTCAATGGGCTAAGGGGTGGCATGGGGACTCCACCACTTCCAGAATGTGCAGGCAAATCACAGGTCAGGAGCCTGGGATTGGTCACTTCTCAGCTCAGAAGCCCAGGCAGCTTCAAAGACTGGAAATATTTAAGAATGATAAGTGGGCAAGTTGCGAAAGCAAAGGCCTTGAAATCTGGACTGCACACACTTGCTGAAGGAAGGTGGAGGAACAAGAACCAGTAGGTGCTTTTAGGAAGGGGTTGCTCTCCCAAACCCCACCCTAGTCTTTCACAAGGTCAGCACAGAAAAGGGATTAGGAAATAAAATGAAATGAATCCCCTCTTAATATTACTTTTCAAGTCTTTCAGGTTTTTTTTTTTAACTTAATGTTGGTTTTACTCATTGGGAATGAAAGTGACAAAGCCCAAACTTTTTTTTTTTTTTTTTTTAGGCAAAGGGTCAGTGTCAATACCTGTAGGAATAAAACAGTTTTAAAACCTGTTTTACTAAGAGGGGAGTAGTCAAGTAAATGGCCTTTTGCATTTCAGCTCTGCCTTCATTGGCTGTGTATCTTTATGCAAATTACTGAAATCTCTCAGTCTCAAACTTTCTCATCTGTATTATGGGGATAATAAGCCTACTTAGGATTGTAGTGAGCATTATATGAAAGAACACACATCCTTCCGCACGCTGCCTGGCACATATCAAACTTGACAATACCAGGCTGCACTTCTCATCATTTTAAACCAAAGTCATTGTCAATTAAGGCAAAAAAAAAAAAAAAAAAAAGTGGCATTCTGGGATCATACCTCTCTATGGTGCGAATAAATATATTCAGATGTCCTTTGGCTGACGCTTTTAGGACCAGCCAAGGCTCAGCAAAGCCAAGAGTCGTGCAGGAGCGAACCGATTTGTCTGCCAGGAATTCTGGCCAGCGCTTCTTAAATTCGCAGAAGCACACACCCTATGCCCTCGTCTGGGGCCATCCCCGAGCTCCAGCAGGGCTGGAGCAACCGCGGCAGAAGCGCGTTCCTTGGCGTCCACCCAGAAACCAGACGGACACACCCGCGGGAAGTAAACTTGACCCGACTCTGGAACTCACCGAGCGGCGCGGGCTCAGCGTGGAGCGCGCGGGCGTCCAGGGCCCCTCCCGGCGCCCCCCTCCCGGGCTGCCCGCGGGGCGCGCTGCTCACCTGCCAGGCCCGACGGCACCACGGCGGCCAGAAGCAGCAGCAGCAGCAGGGCCGGCGGCGAGAGCAGCCCGAGGCTCCCGTCCGGGCTGCGGCGGGACATCGCTCGGCGGCCGCGATCTCCGCTCGGCTGGACCAGGCGGCTGTTGGCAGAGCGGTTCTGCTGCCGGTGGTGGGGCGGAGCGATGCAGAGGTTGGAGCGTCCTTAACTTTCCTCTCTCATGAGCCCGGCCTGTTTGGGGCTTTTAGAGGCGAGGAAGGCTCACGTGGCCTTGGGGACAACCTTCGCCCTGCTGGGCCCCAGTCGGGGAAGGGCGGGACCCTTCTGACCCTCTAGCGCCCTGTGGGCAGGGCTGAGACAGTTCACCTGCTAAACTTCTGGGGCCTGCCGAGGCTACGTGCTGCTTTCCCCTCACTCGTCGGGCGGTTTGGCGGCCCTGGGCTGGAACAAATCAGTTCATGTCCACACGGCTAGCCTCTAGGGCCGACCACTCGTCTGCAGCAGCTGGGAGGAGACCCCCTGGCCGTGGAGAAATGCATACCCCTGCCTACACGCAGCTCCGATTCTTCGCCATTCTGGAGAGGTCTTCACTGGTCCTTCTAACTCCAGGTTAGTGCCCTTCCATCTCAGGCTGTTTAACCTAAATCCGTTGACTGTTGCTCTAGACTTTGGATCGTTTGCTTTTCTCTTCATTGGCTGGATCCACCACTGGCGAGTGATTCAGACGGGTCTGAAACCAGATATATCTCCAAACCCCCTGTGAAGTCCCCATTTCTGTGCAGGATCAGTTGAAAGAGACATTGTGAAGTCGGCAGAGGGTGCCCTGGGTGACATTGTGAAGTAGGCAAAAGGCATTTTATTTATTCAGTAAGCATCTGTTGAGCCCACCTTTTGTGTCAGGTACCAGTGATATAAAGACCATTAACAGCATGTCTATGACAGGCAAGTAGGGATAAAACTGTATAAATAAACAGGTACTGGAAGCTGACGTTATCGCCGCAATAGAGCTCTGCTTAAGGGTCTGTGAGGGAACCCAGCTGGGGGCCTAGACACCCCCTTCTTCTCCATCTTTCTTCCAAGCTTAACTGAAGTGTTAATGGGAAGGGAGGAAAAGAGGCACATTTCCTAGAAGGGGAAACACATTTGTAATCGCTAGAAAAGATACAGAACAATTACATCAACTCTCTGTGCAAAATGTTAAACACGAGTCCTAAGTCATAATTTTGTTTGGTGACAACACCTATCACAGTACTTGGATGATAATATCATGTAATGAATAGACATGAATGAAGGAATTGAGGACACTGTAAAAATTGCAATGTCCATTTTTCTTCAAGTTAGAAAATAATAGTGAAGGAAAATTATGAACATTTTGATTGTGCCATGTCGAGAAGAGAGCTACAATAGGACATTCAAGGAAGTCAGAAAGTAAGTCAGAAAGAGGAAAACAAATATCGTATATTAACGCATACGTGTGGAATCTAGAAAAACGCAAGGCAGAAATAGAGACACAGTTGTAGAGAACAAACATATGGACACCAAAGGAGGGAAAGCGGAGTGGTGGTGGTGGGATGAACTGGGAGATTGGGATTGACATATACACACTAATATGTATAAAATAGATAATTAAAAAAATTTTAAAAGGAAGTTGTGCCATCCCAAATATTTCAGTCATACTACCCTCCACCACCCTCCTTCACCTTATAACCCTTCCAATCCAAGAAGCAAGTGGTTGGATGTGATCACGTGTAAGATGCCTGATGCGAACTACGAGAGACACTCATTCATCTATTATTTAGTCATCAAATACTTGCTGAATTCCACGTTCCAGGCACAGAACAGTAAACAGGACAAAGTCCCTGCCCTCACAGAGCTTGCATTCTAGTGCGGGAAGCAAGTTATACATGTAAACAAATTAAGTGGATCAGGGTTTATCAGCCTCAGTACCATGACATTTTGGACCACGCAATTCTTTGTTGTGGGTGTGGTCCTACGCATCCTCTGGTCTTTATGCACTGGAACCTCCCTCTAAGTTGTGACTATCAAAAACGTCTTCAGTCATTGCCACACATTCCCCTAGGGAGCAAAGTTGCCCTCAGTTGAGAATCACTGAATTCGAGGATGATAAATCTTGCCTTCTTTAAATTGTCAGTTTACATAGCCAGGAGGGAGATGAGCAGCTAAACTCAGCAAAGCTGAAGGGAGGGGGACCAAAGAAGACGTTGACTGTGCAATGTTTTTATCACTTCTGTAGCAGATAGACACGTGCGGTTTGGGCTACTTACCACTCATTACCCAGTTCCTATTACCAATTTTTCATGAATCTGGACCCTATTGGTTTTGGAGTTTCAGTGAACAAGGGAGGAGATATGTTTCCACCAAGAGACACAATAACTGTTTCACTGAATTGGAATTTTAAATTTCTGCCTGGCCTTTATTGGGCTCCTGTGAAAGAAACAGGCAAGAATAGGATTGTAGTGTTGGTCAGAGTGAGTGAGCCTGACAATTGAATGAATATAGCATTGCTACTCAGCAGGAGGGGGCAGTAGAAGGAGCTCAGGAGAGTCCCTTGTATCACCATGTCCTCCTGAAAAGGTTAACTAGAGCGCTGTCACCTCTCCTAGGCCGCCCCTCCAGTGACTCAGGCCCCTCACTCCGATGGGCAAAGAACGCCAACCAGCTGGGATGCTGGCCCAAAGCAAAGGGAACAGGAAAAGAGAAGTCATGAATAACTACAGCTGGGGGACCAGTTGTAGAAACAGAGACAGTGGCCTCCGTCTATGTTTCTTCCCTTGCTGTAACATATATGTGGTGGATTCAAAATTTTACAGTTCCAGAATAAAATGTCCATCATGTAAATTTGGTTTTTTTCCAAAAGGTATGATTGGCTTAGCTTCAAACACTTATCCATTGATGGTAGAAATTTGAGAATACCAAACTTAAGGTTACTCAGTCTCATTTGGGCTAAATTCTAAGCAAACTTCACCTCCTCCTTATTCTTTCCCCCTTTCCTGAGGCTGATCGTCATTTCAGGGGCTTATGTATTGACTGGGCATTGAATAGGAGGCATCTATTCTGTGAGCCATCTTCTTGGCTTGGTGGCCTCCAGTGAGATGAAGTTCATCTCTTCCGTCCTCCTTGTGGTACAACAGTGGCAGGAATCCACTGTTGACATCTGAGGCTCTTGGCCTCAGGTCTGGATTCCTATGTGCTCTGTGTATTAGTTAGGTAATGACAAACTCCCCAAGTTCAATGGATTAATGCAACCAAAATGTATTTCTGACTCATATTCCAGACCAATGTGGGAGTTGCTTAGTTGCTGGCTTTCTTTCGTGTAGAAATGTAAGAATCCAGTGTCCTTTCACCTGTGGTTCCACCATTCTCTAAGGCAGATGTTCTAATCTTTCCTCGCTCATATAGTGCCCCAAGCGTCTCAATAATACATTCTTGGGGCTGCAGGCCCAAAGAAATATCTAACAGTTTCTTTCATTAATTAGTTAGGGCCAAACAATTTAGAAGTAGTAATTTACTCGGTGTCCCAGATGGTACTATGTTTTCCTCAAAGATTTATAATATCTCAGGTGCCCCCTTTAGTTCACTGTGGTATGTCCTACTGATAATATTATTTCCTGTGAATATTTAGTATATCCTAGGTACCCCTTGTGAATTCATTGTGATTGTCAAACTGTATGCAGGAACAATCACTCGGGGTCTTGGAATGTTTTCTTCCAGCCAGAGAAGGGGAAAAAATATGGGAAAATTCTCCTGCTTCATTCCACTGGCGATAACTAGACATACTGCCACACCTAGATGCTGAAGAGGCTGGGAAATGCAGCCTCCAGCTGGGATGTCACCTCTCAGTACGGAAATAAAACACATTTTTTCGGAAGTCAGCCAGCTGTTTTTGGTACTCTTGGCAACCTCTCCAACCAGACTTGGATTCTGCTGGGTCCTCTGGCTCACTATCAGACCCCTCTGAGCCCTGTGGGGGAGTGTGTGGAGTAGGGAGTCAAAGATACTCCGACTTGGTGTGTGTCAGCCAGTCTCCCCAGATGCCACCTTCGGTCATTGCTTGTCTACAACTCAGATGTCATGTAGGAGATGTAACTCCTTGCAAGTTCATGAGCTACATCCTGGAAAGTTTAAACATAACCTCCTCTGCTCTGGTAACTCTAGACCTAACTGGAGTTCCTATTACCAAATGTTCCCACATCCTACCCCACCCATCAAATAGGCAACTCAACCCCTAGAGGAAGGATGGCGCTGGTCCTTGCATCAAACTGCTGTGTATTTCTCTTAACCACTCTTCAAACTCTTTAGTTGCTTGGATAAGAGTTATTATACATCCTTATAAATTATTACCTTACAAACATTTATTATCTACTAAATACCTTATTATATGTCCTTATTCCAATTTATTGTTCTTAAATATACTTTATGGCCTTTTATTTCAACTGTGCCTTTTAAGTATCCAAGCCAAGCTTTTGAATATTTCAAAACATTTTTCTTTCTCAGGTGCACAAACCTTACATTTTAATGGCTTTGAAGATTTTGGTTTGTGTCTACGCAAGACCACAAATTTTACTCTTTGGTCTTTTTGTTTTCTTCTTCCTTGAGCAATAAGCCTCAGCCTCTTAGAATTAACCTAGTAGTGCAAAATTTACTAAGTTAAACATGAATTTCTCAGAAGAAAAGTGTGTAGGGTAATATTTTAGACTACTATTCAACTTCTCTTCTGTGTATTTACTTCTGTAGTTAATTTTCCCTTTCTTTTTTGCTCTTTTCCTCCATTTTTGTGTGTGTAGGTTGTTTTGGTAGTTAAACTGATCATTTGGTACTTGGGGATCAGAATATTGAGTTCAAATTGCTGCAGAACCAAAGAAAAAAATGGACATTCCTCAGAAATCCTGGGCTCAAGCCTGATGCCTGTGGAGCTTGTTTTGGTGACTTATTTTTTTTAATTAATTGATTTATTTATTTTTGGCTGCGTTGGATCTTCTTTGCTGCACGCAGGCTTTCTCTAGTTGCGGCAAGCGGGGTCTGCTGTTTGTTGCCGTGCGCGGGCTTCTCATTGCGGTGGCTTCTCTTTGTTTCGGAGCACAGCCTCTAGGCGCATGGGCTTTAGTAGTTGTAGCACGTGGGCTCAGTAGTTGTGGCTCGCGGGCTCTAGAGTGCAGGTTCAGTAGTTGTGGTGCATGGGTTTAGCTGCTCCACGGCATGTGGGATCTTCCCAGACCAGGGATCAGACCCATGTCCCCTGCATTGGCAGGCGGATTCTTAACAACTGCGCCACCAGGGAAGTCCCTTGATGACTTATAATGCAATTCTGTACTGTCTGCCTATCCTCTCTTCGACTCATTTGCTCGTGCTTTAAAAAAGCTGCAATCCATTATAATTTCCAGACTGCAGGTGTCTTGTAAATTGGGTACAGAAAAGTGGGGCTGCCATTGGTCAGTGATCGTAAGGCCACTAGCATGTCTTGGCTTTGGGACAATGGTATAGGGGTGAGATGTGAATCAAGCATGGGCTGACTGAAGCAGAAGGAGCAGAGGTTAAGAGAGAAGTTTCTGTACAAGTTGAATACTAATTAGATGGTTTATTTTTTTATT